CCGCGCCCACCCCCACCAGCGGCACCACCACGCAAGGCAGCTGCAGCAGCAGGGGCAGCAGGGGAGGAGGGGGCGGGAGGGGCGGTGCGGCCTCGGGGGCGGACCAAGGCAGAGGTGAAGGCGCGGCGGCAGCAGCGGCTGGTGGACGCCCGCCCTGGCAGTGAGAGCGAGGGGGGCGAGGGCGACGAGGACGAGGACGGGCGCAGCGATGAGGAGAGGCCTGTGGCAGCGCGGGGCAGGGGGCGTGGCCGTGGGCGCGGGCGGGGGTCGAGAGGAGGGAGGGGCGGGCGGGGCAGAGGAGAGGCAGGAGGGGAGGCAGGGGGGAGAGAGGGGTTGAGTTCAACTGGGAGGGGGAGGGGGAGGGGAAGGGGGAGAGGCAGGGGCAGGGGCAGGGGGCGAGGAGGCGAGGGAGGAGGGGCGGAGGGCGGAGTGGCGGAGGGGGGTGAGTGGGAGGAGGGGAGGCAGCGTGACGTGGGGGAGGCGGGGCAGGAGAGGGCGTTGCGGCAGCGCAAGGTGGGGGTGCCGGCGCGTGTGGAGGGGGACGCTCTGAGCCCAGAGGGCCGGCGGCGGTCGCTGCAGCAGCTGGCCGCTGCTAAGAGGGAGGCACGCGGCGGGGCAGGCGCTGATGGTGAGTGCAAATAAGGAAAGGGGATGGTGGAGGGGGTGCCGGGTGGGCGTCCGTGTGTGTGTGTGTGTGTGTGTGTGTGTGTGTGTGTGTGTGTGTGTGTGTGTGTGTGTGTGTGTTGATGAGGCGCACAGCTCTTAGTGTGTGTGTTGAGCTGACTGCACACACGCCTGTGTGCTCTCTGCCCTGGCCTGCCTTGCATTGCCTCTCTCTTCCGCCTTGCCCCCGCGTGAGCTTGTCCCGCCTGGTAGCTCGCCACACGCCACACGCCACACGGCACACGGCACACGGCACATGGCACCTCTACCCCCGCTCCCTCCCTGTTCCCCCCCTTCCTCTGCCCCTGCCCTTCTCTCCAGAATCGCCCCCCCATGCGCTTGTGCTGACAACACAAGATGCCACGTCAGTCCCACCAGGATGGCAGCAGGTGCGTGTTGTGCTCTGTCTGTGGCGCGCTGAATTGGTGTTGCATGATGTGGCGTGTGGCATGGCATGGTGTGGCATGCTGTTGCGTGGTGTAACAGCGTGGCATAGTGCGGTGTGGTTCAGGATGGTGTGGTGTGGGATGGTGTGGTGTGGGATGGTGTGGTGCAGGATGGTGTGGTGGTGTAGTGTGGCGTGGATGGAGATGAAGCAGCAGAGTCGGTTCAATACAGCATCGTGGTGTTTCTCATCCTCGAATCATGCATTCCCTTACATCCCTCTCTCACCCCCCTCCTCTCTCTCTCTCCCGTCTCTCACTCCCACTTCTAAAGCCCCACTCCCATGCCCAGCAGCAGCAGGGGCAGGGTCAGCTGGGTTGGCAACAGGGCTGGCAACAGGGCGGGCAGCAGAGCGGGCAGCAGCAGCAGGGGGGCGGGCAACAGGGGCAGGGGCAGGGGGGCGGGGGCCAGCAGGTGCTGTGCATGCGGTTCCCGAAGCTCATGCCGGCGCCCTCAGTGGCGCAGCTGCGCGCCACCTTCGCGCGCTTCGGAGCGCTGCTGGGCGCCAAGCTCATCAAATACCAGGGCGTCGCTGAGGTGTGTTGAGAGGGAGAGGGAGAGGTGAGCCAAGAGAGGGGCGTTGCTGAGGTGAGGAGGAGACTTGGGGGAGTTAGGTTGTTGTCACCAATGTCAATGACAATGTCACACGCACTCTCTTCATGTCATGCCATGTGCCGCGCACCCCCACACCCCTTCGCTCCCACGCAACCATGCCCCTGCCCGTGGCCCACCCCTTTCCTAGTCCCATGCGCACAGGCTGTGTGGAGGACCCATCATGAGCCACACCATGCATCAGGTGCCTCAAACGCCATCTTCCCAACCCTCCCCCTCCCCTCCACCCGCCATGCGGCAGGTGGTATTCGAGGACCCGTCGTCAGCCACAGCAGCCATGCCCCCCTCCCCTCTCCCCTGCCCGTCCCCCATCCCCTCTCCCCTCTCCCCCAAGGTGGAAAAAAAACGATTGTCGAAAAATACAATTGTATTTTTCGATTGTTCTTTACGGTACCTTTTGGGAAAAAAACGTCGTTTTTATGTTAGACAAAAAAAAGCGCCTCGATAAAAAAAAATGCTGTTGTGACCCAAAAAACACTTTTAACCATCTCCTAGTGCATCAGCAATACTTCTAACAGCCCCCTCATTCTACTCACAAAACAATCCCCCTGTTACAGCAGCAGTTTTGTACCCTTTTCTGAAAAAAACGATGGTTTTTTTCCACCCAAATCAGTTAATTTCTAAAAATCGAAATTTATTGTATTTTACGATCGTTTCTTACGATACAGTATTTTACGATCAAATTTTGAAAAAAACGTAGTTTTTTTGCACCCTGCTCTCCCCTCCCCCTCCCCTGCGCCCGCCATGCACACAGGTGGTATTCGAGGACCCGTCGTCAGCGACAACAGCGATGCACGAGGCCATGCACGGCTCCTCGCTCTTCGGCTCCTGGGACGTGCAGTTCCGCCTGCGCCCCTACACCGCCTCCGTCGGTGCCCCCCCCCGTTGCTTACTCTCGCTCTTCCTTTCCTCCGCTCCCCTCTCGTCTCCGCTCAACGCTGTGCCATGCTGCTGGCGTGCCATTCCCTCTTCCAATGTTTTTTTCTCAGTGGTCGTCCTTGTCGCTGCTCTCTGCATTTCGCCCTCTGCCTCTCCACATGCACCTTCCCTCGCTCTCCCCCTTTCAACCACCTCGTCACCTCTCCTCTTCACCTTCGTCTCCTCTCTCATCTCTCTTCTCGCCCCCTGCTCCCCTCCCCTGCCCCCTCTTCTCCCGCTCCCCTTCTCTCCTGCCACCAGATTGACTCTGCAGTCCCCATCAGGCCCACATATCCCTCCGCCCACACCCCCCCACCCTCCGCCCACGGCCCCCCTCCCTCCGCCCGCACCCCCCCTGCGCGCCTTCCCCCCGCGGCCTCCCCCGCCCCCACTCCCCCGCGCGCCCTCGCCCCTCCCCCGGCCGGTGCTGCCCTCGTGCCCGCCGCCGCTGCTGGCCGCCTCACACCCTCACAGCGCCACAGCCTGGTGCGTGCCAATGCCAATGCCAATGCCAATGCGTGCTGCCAATGCGTGCTGTCGCTTCCATCACCGTCTAATTGCCGTCACCCGGGCACACCCGTGTCTGTTGCTATCCTTCAGATATATTTCTTTACTCCTTTTCTCTCTCTCCTCGCGCCCCACCCGTTGCCTCTCACCGGACTTTCCCCCTCGTCTCCCTCCTGCCAGCAACTAATTCATTCCACCCTCTGCTTCCCACCTCCACCTCTGCCTCGCCCCTCTCTGCACTTCTCCTCTCCTCCTTATCTTCTCCCCACTCGCATCTTTCCCCCCGCCCTCTCCGTCCCCTCCCCCCAGGCGAATCCAGCGCAGGCGGCGCAGAGGCCGGGCAGTGCGGCCTGGATGGGCACGCCCACCACGCTGGGCCCGTCCACGCGCTCGCTGCTGCCGCGCTCCGCCCTCGCGCTCTCCAAGGACCCCCGCCGACAGTCCCATGCCCCCGCCGCCGCCGCCACTTCTCCTGGCGCTGCTGCTGGCGGGGGGGGAATGGCGGGACAGCAAGGCAGGGAGGGGTTGCCTCCTGGGTTTGCAGCAGGGGCAGGGGGAGGGGGGGATGGAGGAGGAGCGGATGGGGGAGCAGGAGGTGGCGATTGGTGGGACGCACAGGACGCCCTCCCCACACCCCCTGTGGAGCCATCTGCACCCCCTCCCGCTCACACCCCTGCTGCACCACCCTCCCTCCCTTCTACCCCTGCCCCGCTGCCCACCGCCTTCTCTGCCCCTGCTGCTGCCACTGACGGCGCTGCTGCTGCCATGGTTGCTGCTGGAGGAGCCGGGGCTGGGGAAGGGAGTGGTGGGGTGGGAGGGGCGGGGGCGGTGCCGGACATAAAGCAGAGCATGTTCAGCCTGCTGAGCAAGGTGCAGGCCATCGTGTCGCAGCCCGAGGGGGAGGGGCGTGCAGCACAGGGGGCTGACAGCACCGCGTGAGGCATGGGGAAGGGAAGCCATGCGCTGTGTGGCGCCCTCTGCTCTGCTCTGCACACCCCTACCCCCGTTCCTAACCAGTTCTCTGCTCGTGACGACTGTGGGAAGCCCCTGCTGTAACCTGTGCCGGGAACGCTGCTGCTCGCTACCAGCTCTGCTCCCTCCAGCCACACTCCTCTCCTCTGGACTCAGCTCTCTCTTCTTCCGCTGCTTCTGCTCACTGCCTGCTGCCTGCTGCTCGCTGCCTGTTGCCGTGTCGGGGGGCCTGTCATGCTGCCCCTGCGCCGTGTGCACATGGCTGCTTGTCCCAGGTGCACCACCCCCAGCCCACTAACCTCAGCCCCTCCTTGCTCTGCCTCTCAGTGCCACGGTTCACGGCAGCTAGTTTAATTGAATTTTCGGTTATCTAGAGCCTAATCCTGGTACTGTTATTCCAGGAGCATTCATGGTGTGCTGGGTGATATGGTTGGTTGATGTGCATGCATGGCATGGCATGGTGCATCCTTGAGGTGTGCTGTGATGAGCCGTAGCACTCAACTACGGTAGGATTCTCTTCTTGGCTACAGTAGCTATGCTAATTTGGCCTTTTGCCACCTTACCTACTTAACCTCCAATTTGCACTTTCAATACTCTTTGTTGTAACTGTTCAGTTTATCCAAATTTAATTGCGATCTTGTAGTGTGCACCAAATTTTACTTTCATAGTAGGGAATTCTGAATTGAAAGTGTGCAAACAAATGCACCTTGCATCTATGCTGCTTATAGCGAGAATGGTGTTCAGGCAAATTGTCATGCCATCACCATCAGTTCAAACTAGGACATGTATACACCATGTAACAGGAAAGAATCGTGCATAAAAATGCTGTTTACACAGCAACAAATCAGCAACGCAAAAGGCAGCTGGTGTGGGGTGGCATGGCATCAGGAGGGGAAGAGGCGGATGTGCTGCCTGGGCACCACCCCTTCTTGCAGAGCAGCGGCCGGGGGAAAGGTGGGCAGGGCATGGGGGTCTGCTGGGTGGTGCTGGTGGTGCGGTAGGTGTGGCGACACGAGGGAGAGGAAGGTGAGCGGGCCCCACCCCTTCTTGCCCATGGCTGCTGCTGCCGCATCCTGCAGAGGGGAGAGAGGAAGAGGAGAGAGTGGAGAGGGCTTGTTAGAAATAGCTGGGGGCAGGATAAGCAGGAGAGGAAGGGCCGGGGGGAAAAGCAAGGAGAACAAGGAGCAGACTTGGCGCCTCAGAAAAGGGGCATGGAGCAGGGAGGAGTAGAGATGGTGTGGGCTGAGAAGCAGGTCGCAGAGCATGGCGCTGGGAGGCCAACTGACCTCACTGGAGAGCCGCTCGGGCTTGCTCCGTTGTGGCGACCGCAGCCCCCGCTGCTGCGCCCGGCCCGCTGCCGCTGCTGCGGCAGCTGCTGCAGCAGCATGTCCGCCCAGCTGTGCCTCTATCTGCGCCTCTATCTCCGCCTGCGCCTGTGCCTCCACCTCTGCCTGCGCCTGCGCTTGTGCATGCGCCTGCACATGCGCCTGTGCCTGTCCCTGTGCGTGGGCGTGCGTGTGGGCGTGAGGTATTCTGCCGTCCCCGCCAGCGCCGCCAGTGCTAGTGGCGCCCGCCTCTGCCATGGCGCTCACGCGGAACGGCAGGCCTGTCAGCGCCACGCGCCCTGTCGGCCCCGCGTACAGCGCCCCCGCCCCGCCCGCCTCCCTGCCCGCCCCGCCCCTCTGCTGCTCCGCCGCGCCTGGCGCAGCTGCATCCGCGACTGCTGCGCCTGGCGCCGCCCTAGTTGCACCGGCGGGGTCATTGGGCGCATTGCAGCGGTCGCGCGCATTCGTGGCATTGCCCGCCGCCAGCCGCTGCTGCTGCTGCTGCAGCGCCATCAGCTTTTGCCCCACCTCGGCCGTCACACCCGCCCTCATCGCCGCCAGGTGCTGCTCCTGCCCCTCTTGCGCCTGCCGCTGCTGCTGTTGTTGCTGGTACTGCCGCAGTTGCTGTTGCACCAGTACGGGTACGAACGGCGTTTCATCTTTCACTCTTCGGAACATGGTAGATGGGAACGGCGTGTCATCTCCCCACACGTTACTGAACCCGCGTTTCCCTAGCACTCCCCCGCCTTCCTTCCCCGGCGTCCCCCCACCGTCCTTCTTCGATCCTTCCGCCACTTTCCCCTTCGGCGCACGCGCCCCATCGGCGGGGGCAGGGCGCGGGGCAGAGGGGAACAGCTGCAGTTCCACCAGACTGGACACGCGCGCGGACGGGGACAGCCCTTCCACCGTCCCGTGCCCGGCTGCCCCGCCCTGCCCGCCCAGAACTGCCGCCCAGCGCGGCAGCGCCGACGTCGCCCCGCCCGCCACGTTCCCCTTCCCCGCAGCCGGCTGCTCCGGCGCCCCCGGCGCAGGGGGGCGAGTGCCCTTCTCTTCCGCCGGCGCGTCCTTTGGGAACGGCGGCTGCACGCCTTCCGCCTGCATGGCGTGCGCGGCGGCGGCGGCGTCCCCCGCGAGAATGGCTTCCGCGGCCTGGATGGTGGCGGGGGAAGGGAAGTACGGCACCATCTGGTCGTTCCACGGGACCACGCCCGGCGCAACCCCGCCCGCACCGGCCCCCCCGTCCGCGCCGTCCGCTCTCCCCGCCGCCAGTTCCGCCGGTTCTCCATCCGCGACTTGCTTTTTCGCCTCCCCGCACTCCCCCTCCGCCGGTCCTCGCGCCGCCTTCCCCGCCCTGTCCGCCGCCATCACCGCCGCCGCTGCCGCCTCCATCTGAACAGCCAGGGGGAGTTCCTCCCCGCCCGCGCGCACCCCCTGCGCCTCCCCCTCCCCGTTATCCGCAGGCCCGCGCCACGGCCCGACCCCACTGGCGGCGGCGGAGTCGCACGACGCGGAGCGCGCCAACCCCCCTCCGCCGCCCCTCGCGCTGGCCACCAGCGTGCTGTGCGACGCGGCGGGGGCGGAGGCGCCGTTGGCGCAGCTGAGCTCGGGGCGCACGAGCGCGGTGTGCACGCGCATGGGCAGGCGGTGGTCGGGCGCGCGCGAGAACGCGACGAGCACCTCCTCCGTGTCGCCCAGCCCCTCATCGCACCCGTTGGCGGCCGCCGCCTTCAGCGCCGCCTCGCGCTGCCACATCGTATCCACCGCCTCCTGCAGCCGCTGCCGCGCCGTCAGCACATCAAGCACCGGCCGCGGGTAATTCGCGCCGAGCTCCACCCCCGCCATGCGCAGCACGACGGGCGGCGCGTCCCACGGGTGGTGGATCCAATCCGTCGGCACGCGCGCGAGTTCCGGCACCCATCTCCGCACGTATTCCCCCTCGGGGTCAAAACGATACCCGTCCTCCTCGGGATCATCCATGCGATCCAGCTCGTGGCCGTCGGGCAGCGAGCCGCTGATGTACTGCCAGCCCAGCACGTCGGCCTCGAGATCGGCGTCGAGCAGCGTGTCCCAGAAGTACTTCATGCCCCACCGCCACGGCAGCTGCAGGAACTTCACGCAGAACGACGCCACCACCACGCGGATGCGGTTGTGCAGCCACCCCGTCGCCCACAGCTCGCGCATCCCCGCGTCGACGAGCGGGTACCCCGTGCGCCCCTGCCGCCATAGCTTGAACATGTGCTCGTCCACGCGCCACGGGAAGTGCTTGAGGTTCGCGAGGAGCGAGCGCTCGTGCGTGAAGGGGAAGTTGAAGGAGAGGTAGCGCGAGTACTCGCGGAAGCCCAGCGCGCGCACGAACTGCGCGACGCTCTCCGCCGCGCGCGGAAGGCCGTCCTTCTGCCACGCGACGCTGAGGCGCTGGCACTCGTGGAAGATGCGGCGCGCGGAGATCTCGCCGAAGTGCAGGTGCGGGGAGAGCAGCGACGTCGTCGCGCTGTCCGCCTTGCTGCGGTTCGCGGCGTACTCGAGCAGCGGCCCGTGCAGGAACGCGACGAGCGCGCGGTCCGCGTTGGTGCAGCCGGGCAGCCAGGCGCGCGCGAGCAGGTCGTTGCTGGGGCGCTCGTCGTCCGCCTCGAGCCCCAGCAGGTCCACCGCCACGCTCCGCACGAACCCCAGCGGCCCGCACAGGCGCGCGGGCGCGGGGAGCGGCGGGTCGGGGCGCGAGGGGCGCGGGTGGTGCAGGCAGTGGCGCCAGAAGGAGCGGAAGGTGGTGAAGGCCTTGCCGTGGTCGTCGAAGATCTCCCAGGGCTCGAAGAGCAGATCCGCGTTGAACGAGCGCACCACCACTCCGCGCCGACTCAGCTCCTGCTTCACGCGGTGGTCGCGCACCAACGACGCGGGGTCTGCGCGGAGATGGGGGAGTGGGGGCGGGATGGGGAGAGGGGGAGGGCAAGAGGGAGGGAGGGAGTGAGGGAGTAGCATGAGGGATCTGTAAGGTCGGTGGTCGACGGGTCATCGACACGGGCGGCATACAATGGAGGGACGAGAAGGAAAGGGCCAGATTTGAGAAGCCCATGCACGGAAACAGGGAGGGGCGATGGGCGGAGGGCAGCGCACCGTAGAGGTGGTTGTAGAAGACCTGCGTGGCGCCGGTGGCCGCCATGACTTCCAGCAGCACCGCCAGGGTCGACTTGGCGCGCCGCATGAACAGCGGCACGCCCAGAGCCGTGAGCGCGGCGTGCAGCTGCGAGAGCGAGTTGCGCAGCCACCAGCGCGACACGCGGCCGGGGAAGAACTGTCCCTCCTCCTCCGGGGACCACACGAAGAGCGGCACCACCGCGCCCTGCTGCGCCGCCGCGATGAGAGCGGGGTTGTCCTCGACGCGCAGGTCGCGGCGGAACCACACTATCGTTGTCACCTTCGACGTGCGCGCCGCTGCAAACGCTGCTGACACCTGACTCGACGTCATATTCGCGGATGGGGGTGTCTGAAGAGAATTCTAAGATACAGATTTCCTTTTTACATAATCTTATCGCCCCGATGTAGCAGGAAAAAGTGTCAGTATTCCATGTCGACGCATCGACGGAGCGCACTTACCGCGAGAGAACTACGCGCAACGAGAAAGGTGAATTTTTTTTTGGCAGCTCAGGCCAGGAATTCGTTGTGACAAAGGAACGAAGCTCACAAAAGTGACAACTAGGGTTTCACAAGTTTGGTCAGATCCCTAGGGTCGTGGAACAGAACACTGAACAGAAGCAGGTTGGGTAGGAGGGAGAGGGAGAAGAGTGAGAGGGCCTCACGGCGAGGAAGATGGAACGTCCGCAGGTGATGTCATTCCACCGTAGTCGAACCATTTCCACCTTCTTGAAGCTCTAGCCAATCGCACTGTAACTCTCCGTTACAAACTTTATGATTGCAACAGTCTGGTGGGTGGTGGGGAGAAGAGATGGTGAGAAAATCCGTCACATGCAATGCAGGGCAGGAGGAGGTCTCCCAATAACTGGATTCCCGCTCTGACCCGGGCAGGAAAAGCAGTGCATGGAACAAGCTGGCTACAGCTGATGCTCACCCCATGCACGCGAAATTGCCATGCACTGGATGGAAACGCTGCCCCCCAGCAGGAAACCCCCGCTTGCTGCTCCCACAGTACAAGCCCCCGGGGTGGCAGGAAACAGTGCGCGCGACTCGGACAGTTTAACACGTGCAGTCCCGAACAACCAACGCCAACCCTGCTGTGCCCCGTTTCCAGGCCAGGAGCCTGCACCGCGAAAGTGAGTGGACGAAACGAACGAGGCTTCGTGAACGCAATCGCCAATCCACCCCGCCACCTAGGCACGGATCATTGTGCGTGTAACAGACAACGTTGGCAAATTCACGATCCCACGTGTAATCTGCCTGTGCTGGGTACAAGCGTTATTGTAGCCAGGCATTGTTCTCATACACCACGTCAGACAATTGAACGTAAGGTTACCAACCTAAAACGTCAAATGTGCAAGCCAGGTGCATGGAACGAACTCCAACCACACGTACAGTTCCAAGCCCCAAAGAATAGACCCCAACCTTGTCCCAGGTGAATTCGAACTCAGGATAAAATGTGAACAACAATTTCACTAAGACAGTTAGTTCACTCACCTTATCCTGACACAATGCCCCGATTTAATCGACGGGAACAGCTGCCGCTCCACATCAAGCGCGCCATTTGCGCGCACCACGTCGAACACCCCGTCCTGCGCCATGTCGACCTAGCTCGATGGTGTTTCTCCCAGTACGGGTTGCGCCCGGATCGCTCTACGATCGGCCGCATCCTAAAAACCGCCGAGCGATGGGCTGTGACGTCCGACGGCGACAACCCGGTGCGCCGTCGGGGAGGCGCCTGGCTTGAGCTGGAGCAGGCCATGGGGCGGTGGATAGCAAACGCAGGACCCGCCGGTGTGCCCCTCACACTCCAAACCATCCGCGACCATGTCGCGGCGATGGCCAGGAACATGGGCATTCCGCCCACCTTCCGATGCTCGATCGGCTGGGTGCGCCGTGCATTGCGGCGCCAGGGCGTGAGATGCCGTGCGGCACAGGGCGAGGCCGCCAGCGCAAATATGGCGGCCGTGCGCGACGCCCGTGAGAAGATGCCGCGACTCCTCACGCAGCTCGGCGTCGCCCCGCGGGACACCTTCAACCTCGACGAGACTGCTCTCTGGCTGTCGGTGCTTCCGCGGCGCACGTACAGCAGCGGCCGCATACCAGGCCGCAAGGTCTCGAAGGAGCGATTGACCGTCGCATTCCTCGTGAATGCGGACGGTAGCCATGCATTCCGACCGCTTGTGATCAGCAAGGCGAAGAGGCCGCATGACTTTCGGCCCGACTACGACCCTGAGGCGCTATGCTACTGGCGCCATAACGCCAAAGGCTGGATGACCTCGCCAGTAAGCATCTTTGCGTTCTATGTGCACATTTTTTACTCTCATCGCTTTTTAGCGCAATTTTTTCATGTGTCTGTTCTCACGATGATGCCGACCGTGCCCCCTTCTTCCATGCCATCCCGTCCAACAGTTATTCACACATTTCATTACTCATCTCAACGCGGCGATGTTTGCCGAGGGTCGCAAAATAGTGGTGCTGCTGGACAACGCGAGCAGCCACATGCTGCGCTCTCAAGATGCATGGAGCGAGATCGTGTGCGGCGTCAGGACCACGTGCATGAGCCACGTGCGGCTTGTCTTCCTGCCGCCCAATACCACGGCATTCACTCAGCCGCTTGACCAGGGCATAATCGCCACCGCGAAGGCCCGCTACCGTCAGCATTGGCTGCGGGCCTTCTCGGGTTTATGGAACGCCGACGGAGCGACTTCCGCGGTCGCTCGATTCCGGCCGAATCTGCGAGATGTGCTCGAGTGGCTGTCGGAGTCGTGGACCTCCGTCGGCGCGCGCACCATTCAACGGTGCTGGTGGCGCACGGGGTGTCTTCCCCTCTCGTGGTCACTGGAGCTGCCGCACGTGCATGACGATGAGCCCATCCCCGCAGCTTATCCCGACATCGAACTCGACGATGACATCGATGATGTCGGGACGCTTATTAACAGGCTCGCCCTCGGGGATGCGGCAATGACGGCGGCGGAATACGTCGCCATCGACGACGCGGAGCCCACGTGTGCGGAAGGCACGACACACCCGCCCGTGACAGAGGAAGAGATGCGCTTGGAGGTGGAGCTCTAGCAGGCGCCGACGACCATGCAGGCCGTCTACGACGACGCCGACCCCGTGTGCCGTGAAGCGCGCCGCACTGCTCGTGCGGCGTGCGAGATGCTCATCGGCTACGCCCGGGCCACCCGCATCACTCCGCGCGATCTGTGCGCTCTTTTCGACATCCGCAATCCAATCATAATCGCGCGGATGGAGCGGGCGAGCCCGGGATTCAATCTCAACGTGGCGCCGCAGCCCGTACCCTCCCCCGGCGCAACCCCCACTCCCGAGACCCCTCGTCCGCGGGGCCGTGTGCTGCCCGACTGGATGACCCGCCCGTCCCGCCGTCAGCAGCTGCTTGATGCCGGGGTGGGCGCCGTGATGGACGGCTATGTGGATGCAGCTGAATGGATGCGTCTGTGAGAGGGGGTGGAGCAGCCAGAGCAAAGTGTCGAGTGAATTTTGCAGGGCCCCAGTGATCAAACATTGTGCCCATTTCAGTGTGTTTCGTTTCGTGTGTTGTGTTGCTATGGGGGGCCAGGTGGGAGTTGTTGATTGGATGTCTATGTTGTGTTAGTTGTTTCTCACCTCGAGGAATAATTGATGTGCACGCCTGATTCATTACTGTAGTGGTCGTGTAGTAACATTGAACACACGAAGGAGACAAGCACGGCAACCCCCCCCTGTTACAAAACAAACAAAAGGTGAGGTAACCATTTGCGGGTTAGAGGCACGGGATACGCGTGACGAAACGAACGAACCTCTGGCGAAATGAGTTTTAGCTTATAGTCCCAGAGCACAAGGCAACCGGGAGGGGCTCTAACGAGCATCAGGTAGTTGCTGGTGGGGTTGTGGATGGGATTGGAAGGGCTTGGATAGCAGCGGTCACGGAGAAGGGTAACACTGTTCCAATGTTTCCCGGAAACGGGTGTTTTGGGAAGATGGTGATGGATGGGGGGAATTGATGGAGCACAATGCTGGGGAAGGAGAGGCTCCTTTCCTGTGATTCAGTATGAGCACAATGCTGGGGAAGGAGAGGCTCCTTTCCGCTCCGCAAGTCCGCGACCACGAGCGCATAAACTTTCCGCAACACCTTGGAGTTGCCGCTGTGTGGGAAAGGGGCGGCCCGCCCGCCGAGCAAATTGCCCCTCTCTGCACCAAAGCATATGCACGAGCGAACCGGAAGGCTCCGTGTCACACTTCGTCCAGGCCCATTTGGCTGCAGCCAGCCATTGCTCTCATCCACCGAACCGAAATTGATTTGTTTTGTCGCGTTTGCTCCCAATCGCCAAAAGTCCACCGCGAGAATGTGCAAGCTTCGATTTAGCGGTCGGCACTGATCGCAACAAATCAGATCCAGACCATGTGGATGGGTTCTCTGCCAGCTTAGAACAGCCACACCAGCCACGCTTCCACACATAGGGACAACTTTCAGCAGTAGGTTAGTTTCAGGAATCCCGAGAAACAAGGAGGTGATGGAGCAGGAAGAAGCTTTGCAGTCCAGGGGAAATGCTAAGTTTACATTACAAATAAAGAATATCATTGGTCAGCACACACTGGGCAATAACATGTTATATCTTTGCTTATACATCGTATCGACTCCTCATTCCAACTCAGAAAACATTGAGCCGCCAACACATGCATTTTCCAGGAATGGAGTATTCTTTCCAGCTGGTGCACGTACGTACTATTACACAACAGAACGACTCCCCTTGATCCTAGGCACTCAATGACACTTCGTTAGGAAACAATGCAATAATAAACTAGTGCTTGTATTCACACCAGATCCTCAGCAACCTTGAGTGACTCTGGTGGGCCACTTGCAGACTTTGCAGATCCCACGGGCTTTGAATTGGCAACACCATTGGCCCCTTCCACACTCGCTACCACAGCAACTCCATTGGTGGTGCTCCCTGCCACCTTCAAGCTGCTAGCTCCCCCTCCTGCTGCAGCGCCAGCCGCGGCGGCAGCAGCAGCGGCAGCGTCTTTCATGGCCAGCTCCTGCTGCAGCAGCTGCACCATGCCCTCCGCCTGCTCCTTCTGCAGCTTCCACTGCCGCGCCGCCGCCTGCAGCTGCTGGATCTCCTCCCGCTGCTGCCGCAGCTCCCCTGTCAGCCGCTCAATCTCCGCTGCCACGGCCTCGCCGCGCTCGTCGTCGCTCTCCTCCTCCTGCTGCTGCCGCCTCGCCTCTGCCGCTGCTGCCAGGTCGTCCTCCATGGACAGCAGGCCCTGGGAGGTGGGGGGATGGCAGGGCAGGGGAGCACCAAGGGTGGCGTCAGAGGATCGTCCAGTTTGGCTTGCTTGCTGTGGAAACCATCAGGCATGCGCGCAGCAACAACTTGCAGTGCATTGTCGCTATGTGCATGCGCACGTGCGTGACGGTGTATGTGTGTGCCTGGGTGTGCTCCAGCAGGTGTGTGTGTGCTTGTGTGTGTTGGGTGGGGATGCAGGGAGCGATGGGAGGTGCATGCACCACAGCAAGCCTTGAAATAGCCGGGAGCACATGCGAGGCGGGCGGCACGGCACTAGGAGAGGGCGGGCAGCACGGCACTAGGAGAGGGCGGGCAGGGCGGCACTAGGAGAGGGCGGGCAGCACGGCACTAGGAGAGGGCGGGCAGGGCGGCACTAGGAGAGGGCGGGCAGCACGGCACTAGGAGAGGGCGGGCAGCACGGCACTAGGAGAGGGCGGGAAGGGCGGCACTCACATTGTCGACCTCGAGGAACTTGCGGAAGGATGCTGCTATGGCAGTCGTCTGACGGGCACGGGAGGGGCAACACAATGGAGCGGGCAACGCAAGGATGGGCATAACGGGTGGAGAGAGCATGAGAAAAGGGGGCAGGGGAACCAGCTGGTGGGGACAACAGGTCTGCAACGAGGGAAGAGCACAGCCGGCAGATGCTGAGCAACACGTGGCATGCCCGCAACACCTCCCCACCCTCTCTTCCCCTTCCTTCCTGTCCCCTTCCGCCCCCACCTGGGCGGCGGACCAATCAGAGGTGGCGGAGCCGGTGTGCCCCCCGTTGTTGCGCTGCTCGTAGATCTGAGTGGCCAGCGCCGTCATCTCCTCCTGCCGCCCCTCCAGCAGCCGCCGCTTGGCGTCCGCCAGGCAGTCCAGGTACGGGTGCGCGATGGGGCGAGCATTCTTGACGAGCGTGACAGCCTCGTCGCGGCGCAGCCCCTGCACGAAGTAGAGGTACGCCACGCACGTGAGCGACGCGCGGTTGATGCCCGCCGTGCAGTGCACGTACACCGTGTGCCCGCGGTGCAGCAGCACGTTCACCACCCGCACCGCCTCCGGTAGCATGAACGCCTGGCAAGCACACAGGGGCGAAAGGAGGGTGGAGCCATGGAGAGGCCGGGGGGGAGGGAAGAGAGGGCGGGAGGAGGGGGGAGGGAGGGAGAGCAAGGGGGTGAGTGTGTGGAGGAGGGGGAGGGGGTGCAATAATGAGACCAGATTTTGAAGTGGAATGTGGAGATTGGATCGGCAATACGAGGAGTGGAAGGTGGGAAGGAATGGGAAGGGACATGAGCACGCCTGAGAGCAGAGCAGTGGAGAGGAGGAGGGAGACAGGGGTGTATGTGTGGTGGCACCTGGTCGCCGTGGTCGAAGTCTCTGATTGGCACTCGCGCCAGCAGCACCCCTCGCTCCACCGCCCGCGCCCGAATGCTCTCAAACGGAATCTGATGTGCCCATAGCCACCGCACACCATGCAGCATCACCCAGCAGCACCGCACCGCACCGCAATAACACAGCACAGCACACGCAGCACAGCACGCAGAACAGCCAGGACAAGAGTGAGTGGGGCAAGCACCACACGAGCCATAGTGAAGAGGAGAGCAGGGGTTGCAACTTCACAGGTTGGTTGAGGGCGCGAATCTCGGTTTCTGCTTGCGCCTAGAAACCAAGGAAAGCTAATTCGTACTTCCTCATTTGCGTTGATTTCGTCTGAATTCCTTTGAAAGCGTATGATCCTTATCGTTCCCGCGTGTGGTGCTCGATTGAATGCATCACCTCATGCATCACCTCGGCACGTACCAGCTCGTGGGGGGTTGGCAGTGAGTGTGTGGGGGTGGCGGCACTGACCTGTGTGGGGGTGTGTGACGCACCTGCAGCGCGTCGAAGCAGAGGTCGGACTGCAGGTTCAGGATCGCCGTCGCCCCCGCCTCGTCCGCTATGCGGTCCTGCCGGCCGCGGAGAGATGAACCGGGCAACGGATGCATGCGGAGGGACACACGGAGGGATGAGCACGGGCACACGGAGGCACGCGGAGACACGCGGGGACACAAGGACAAAGAGGGGCGAGCGGGACAAGCGCATGCTGGAACGGAGATGAACAAAGATACCGCTGCCTGGTGCCGTGGGGCACGGTTGCTGCGAGCAGCGGCGACGAGCAGAGCGGCAGAGGCGGCAGTCATGCCAGCAGTTAGGGTAGCACTCAGCAGAGCGGTGAGAAGAGGCCAAGAAGGGAGAGGGACTGACAACGTCGTCCGGCGAGCGAGGGCAGGAGCCGACGATGAGGTTGGGCAGGATGTGGTTCCAATTGAGCGTCCACCGCCACTCGTCCACCGCGCCCGCCTCCGCCGCCTCCGCCTCCTTCTCCGCCTTCTGCGCCGCCTCCTCCGCTGCCTCGTTCTGATGGCATCAGAGCACCAAACGGCGGGGAGTCCCGGACGAACAACGACGTGAACTAGCGATTAACACACGCGGGGTTTCGTATGCAACGGATAACCGCCGTCAAAACGGCACAAGGTATTGATAGTTCTCGTTCACTGAAGTGATAGCTTCCAAGGAACTATAAGAAGTTGTACGCATGAGAATGGTGACAATCGTAAAAAACTTTCAGAGAGACGAGATGGCTACACGTATGCACATATTTCTTAAGTAAGCGATGCCTACCCGCCGTTTCCGCCAACCCTCTTTCTCCGCTTCGGTCATTTCGACCGACGCTCGAACGGCGACTCCGCGCGGGCTGGCGTGATCTCGACGGCATGGGAGCCCACCGTCGATACGACTGGCGCCGGAAAACGAGCACCGCCTTGATTGCGAGAGCTTTACTGCGCCGTCAGTGGCGCATCGAATGCCATTTGCTGTTAATGACGCATGATACGCCGCTGATGCCATTGCGACGACGACCTAGCAACCTATTATAGAGAAGTTCAGCTGAAATCCTCTCTAACAAGTACCCTTTATTACTATCAGTTTCAAGCGGAATGAATACCTAAAACTAGATTTAGTACTGCCCTGGACGGTGATCAGAGACGCCAGAGCACAAGCCGGGCAAGTGCTGGGATGCCGGCGGAGCTCCTGGGGAATGGATCTTCTGAACTGAATGGATGAATGCGTCTCAAGTGAAGAGTGAAGGCAGAGTTGCGAGGATGCAAAAGGTGGAAGGCGGGGAGAGGACAGGCGGAAGGAAGGTCGGTTCGCGACGATTTCGCAAGTTGGCGACGACTCGACGAAGACTCAACGACGGTCGTCAGAGCGGCAAACCAAGCCGTTGATGCAGGGATATGGGCTGCCATTTGGCAACTGCTCGACGTGGAAAGTGCAGCGGACAGATGGCGCGGTCTGCTACGCCAACAGCCGCGAGCTCCTGGATTCTGGGGACGGAAATATCTCCCTCTGCAGCAAGACCTGATGCGTCTGGCGGGGGCTCCGCCTCGTTTCGATACAATATACGAGGGTAAAAAGCGTATTTGGAAATACTTAGTTTCTACTGTCAATAACCGCAACAAAAGAAAGCAAATGTCATTTGGAGACTAGAAAGACTATGCTAAAATAGCTCGCTACATAATGGGTTAAACTACACCTAGTGGAGGTAGTTAGGTGTGTCATTTGTCTTTCGATTTAAGAATATTGCGACATGCGTCGAGGCAATTTCTTGGTATAAGGCTGAGGCACTTCTTGTAGTCACTGTTTTGGCTCGTTGGAAAGGCCTGAAAGAGAACAAACCAATGGCAGGGTCACTATCCAGAGGCAACCTGATCTCACTACAAAACAAGACACAATCCACCATAAGAAGCAAACGGCAGCAGCGCCATAAGCTCACCTTGTCACACGCCTCACTGACCGCCATTTGGCACGCCTCGCTGCAGAGGTGCATGCGATCAGCCAGGGATGCGTCCTCCCTGCCAGCCGCGGAACAGGCACAGCGACAAGCAGGGCAAGGTGAGGACCAAGGAGGTCATACATGTCACGGTCCCACAATAGGCTGAATGCTCGCACGATGAGAAAGCAGGACGAGACACACACAGCAAGCGGCAGAAAGTGACCAGCAAAGCGCATGTGAAACGGAGGCACGGATAGAGTGGTGAGCGTGAGAGTGGTGAGCGTGAGAGTGCAGTACGCACTTGCACCGCTTGGTGCGGAAAATCTCCTGGTTTCCCACCAGCTCACAACAGAACTCTATCACCTCCGCCTTCTTGTCCGCCTGAAGCAGAGAGCACAGCAGCAGGCGGCGCGAGGAATGGAGTGCGAAGCGTGCAGCACAGGTGTAGGCACGCAAGCAAGCAGTAGAGCAGGCGTGGGGGGCAAGGGGTGGTGCGCAGATGGACACGCGGAGCAGCGGAGAGGGGCAAAGCGAGAGGAGGGGGGAGGCAGGGAGGGGGTGCGAGGGGGGACGAGAGAGCAAGGGGAGGGGAGGTGAGTGAGGAACGCACGCTAGGCATCGCTCCCAGAGCTCCATGCCGTTCCGCTTGTGCGCATCGATCTCTATGCACCGCCGCACCTCACACCCCTGCTCCACCCGCAGGGCAACGGGCAACGGGCGGGCGTCATCGAGTCGGACACGAGGGGGTGGAGAGGACACGGATTGCCGCAGGCATAAGGACGAGGAGGGGAGGGAGCCGCAGTGAGAATTTGGCAAAGTGGATAGCATAATGACTTGGGGCAAATGGAAAGAGGACAGATGCATGGTTCTGGGGTAGCGACTTCCTGAAGCACAGTGGACAAATATGCATCATGGATCACAGAAAAAGCACGGCACGATTAGCATGGCATGGCATGGAAAGGCACCGTCATGGCACAGCACGGCACGGCACAACATGACATGGCATGACATGGTACAGCAGCGCATGGCAGGCCGGCGCACCTCGGCGGCCTTCTCCATGGCGCGCAGCTGCTCCGTGGTGGGCAGCCCGTGCTTCCGCGCGTACGCCACGCGCGACGAGTACCCCACTATGCCGCGCGCCGGCACCAGCGCGTTGCTCGTCTGTGGGGGGAAAGTGCAGAGGCGGAGACGAGGGGCAAGAGCTAATGCAGGTGAAGGGGGAAGGATCGTAGCGCTGGGTGGGAGGGGACTAGACAGCCATATGCGGACGTGGCGATGAAAGGACTGCTGCGCACCGTTTGATGACCTCACAGTTGCCGTTTACTGACGTCATACCTGCCACTTGATGACGGCCTCCTCCGTTGCCGTGCCGAAGTACCCCGACGGCTCCTCGTACAAGAATCCCTGCCACGTCGGACACGACCACAGGCTCTTAGCGACACGGCCTGGTACAGGCTCTGAAAACAAGCGAGTTAGAAACGAGTAAGACGCGACGCAGAGCATCAGCGCATGCACGAAACCGATTCGCCGCGATGACCAAACGCTGTTCTATGCGCGCACCTCCGTACCCGCATGCGCACCTTGGTGCATCAGTATGCCCCATGGTCTGCACGGTCTCTATGGTCACTATGATCTCTACGGGCTGTAAGGGCTACAGGGCGCACCTCAGTGCGAAGGTACTCCTGCAGGCAGCTGACGTCACCGCCGTAGCTGCCGCGCTTGAGGTCGCGATGGAAGTAGCACGCGCGCCCGCCCGCCACCTCGTCGCCCTCCCCCGACGCCATCCGCGCGCCCTCGCGCCCCGCCCTGCTCGCCGCTCGTCGCGCTACAACCGGAAACTTCTTTCTACGGCGGACTAACAGCGGCAAAGCGGTACGTTACACGCGCCGTCCTATCGCCATAACCGCGGGGAAAAGCACGAGCGTTGATCGAGCCTGCGACTAGGAGCCTAGAATTCGAAGTTGCTTCAGAAATGACGAATTCAAGTGCTGAGAGGCGGAGCAGACCAGAGAGGGTGATGCGAGAAGATGGTCAGAATGGCCTCGAACCAGTCAGAGGCGTTCCCGCCAAGAAATGAACCTTGAGATTACAAAACCTCGCTTCTCGACTCCAAGTGCATCTCCTGCAAGATTTCGTTTGCGCACCTGCAATGCTTCAGCCTTCTTTTGAATATCATTGGGACAACCGGGTTCCACACTAACGAGGAAATCACAGACACAGTCCATGAACTGTATTTCTGTATTCGGTGTAGATATTCGCAACCATTGGCTGAGGAGGCTGTTGTTTTCCTCCAATCCTACCCAAACCAAAGCAGCGTCAGCGCGCCACTTGTTCACGTGGTAGGCAGCCAAGTCGCGTGGAATGCGGTGCGAGCCTGGCTCGTAACCGTAAAGCTCCACTCCCCGCACAGCCATGGCCACCGCCTACAGCACGCAGCGCTTTCTCTCTGCCGTCTCCGCCTCGCGCCCTCTCGGTAGTCCACTGCGATCGTCTGACGTGTCATTTCGTCCGCGTCCGTTCGTCCCGTCGCATTCAAGCTGTCACTCCCGCCGCGCGTCTCACCGCCAGCGAGTAATGCCGCGCGCGTCGGCAGCGGATTCCAGTGCGCGCGGCATCGAGGACGGCCGCTCCGCCAAAGTGCGTAGGCGCTGAATAGTATTCGTTTGCGCCACGCGCCCGTTGTTCTCTGGCGTCCTGTGCCGTCGGATTGCCGTCCATCGAGTGTGCGCAGTCAACCGAGAAAGTTGCTGACCACGCTCTCCCCCCTCCTGCACGCTGCCTCCGTCGCCGCCATTGACCGCGGTCTCGCATACCGCGCTCGTCGTCGCCGCATTATGCATATTTCATGCTCTCTCATACCCCACATGTCCGCGCCGCGCACGCCATGTCCAACTGCCCGTTCTCCATGCGACCCCATCTCCCACAGGGCGTAGAAGACGCGTTTCCCGCCATGGCGGTCCCATCCCAGCTGACATCACCCCTGCTGGCAGCCAATGGGGGGAGCAGCCCGCCGCCTGCAGCAGCTGAGAGCACCCCGCCCACCAGCGCTGCCGTGTGGACTGCTGCCGCCCTGCCGTGAGTTGCCTGCGACTCCATCAGCCACACATGTCCTTCCTATTCCTCTAGTCCTGCTCTCCGCCGTGCTCCCCCTTCCACCTGTCCATCCAGCAACACCGTGCCACCGTGTTCCTCCCTCCCTCCCCGCCACCCCATCTCCCCGCTGCAGCTTCCTCTTCCCAGCGCTGGGCGGGGTGCTCTTCGGCTACGACATCGGCGCCACCTCCAGCGCTCTGCTCTCCCTCAAGGTGCGCGTGTGTGGGTGGCAGCGTGTGGAGGGTGCAGTGCAGCACAGGCGGTGAGAGGAGAGGCACACAACACAGTGGTGGGAACGCACATCCTCATCCTCCTGTCTCCTGCCTGCTCCCTCTGCTCTTCCCCTCCCTCTTCCCCCTCCCCTCTCCCCCTTCCGCGTTCCTCATCTGTTTTACCATGTGCCCTGCTTTTGCTGCGTGGCATGGGGAGGGGCGGAGGGCGGCAGGACCCAGTGCTGTCAGGCACGGACTGGTTTGACCTCTCCTCCACGGCTGTTGGCCTCGTGGTGCGTGCCCTGTCTCACTCTCACGCACTCGCTTGCTCACTCACCCACTCGTTCACTCACTCACTCACGTGCACACTCTCTGACCCTCTCACTCACTCACTCAATCACGCATTCACACACTCAACCGCCTCTCTCACCCCATGGCTCTCTGCTCGTCACGCCCCTGCCATGCCGCCACGCCCCCGCCTGCCGTCACGTCAAGCGACCTGCAATTATGCTCTTGCCCTTGCTGTTCTCTGCCTCCATTCATTGTGTGCCTGCCTCTCCTCGCCCTTCCACGCCCTCCCATCCACGCCCCTTCACGCCCCTCACCGTCCCCTCACATCACACTCCGCCAGGTGAGTGGGTCGCTGGGAGGAGCGCTGCTGGGCTGCCTGCTCGCCTTCCGCATCGCCGACCCTCTCGGTAACCACACCCCCAACCAGCCCCTCTCGGTAACCACACTCCCACCAGCCCCTCTCGGTAACCACACTCCCACCAGCCCCTCTCGGTAACCACACTCCGATCAGCCCCTCCCCTCACCTCCACTAGCCCTTCCCCTCACCTACTCCCTTCTACACCTCACACCCCTTTTCCGTGCCGCATCCCCCTCACCCGCACTTCTCTTCCTGCCGTCTTCGAGGTCCCACTGCCTCCCTCGCCCTCACCTCACCCCCCCCTCTTTCTCTTAATCCTCCTCCTGCTGCTGCTCCCCCTCCCCCTCCCTCTTCCCCCCCCCACGCCCACCGCCACCGCGTGCGACGCAGGGCGGAGGAGGGAGCTGGTGCTGGCGGCGGGGCTCTTCTTTACGGGAGCGCTGCTCACAGCCTCCGCCACCTCCCTGCCTGCGCTGCTGGCTGGTCGCCTCGTCTACGGCTCCGCCATCGGCCTTGTCAGTGCCCCGCCCTGCCCTGCCCTGCCCTGCCCTGCCCTGCCCTGCCCTGCCCTGCCCCGCCCCGCCCTGCCCTGCCCTGCCCTGCCCCGCCCCACCCTGCCCTGCCCTGCCCTGCCCTGCCACGCCTTGCCCTGCCCTGCCACGCCTTGCCTTGCTCTGCCTCGCATGCCCATTTTTTCCTTCTCCCCTGCCTCTCGCCTTCTCTTCTCCTGCTCGCCCTTCCCTCTTCCCCTTCGCCAACTGCCTGGCTTTCTCTTGCTGCTCTCGTTCCTCTCACTGCTCTTCATCAGCTGCCCACCACTCTTGCAGCATGTGTGTGTGTGTGCGTGTGCGTGTGTGACTGAGTGAGTGTGTGTGTGCATGCATGCATTTCCACACGTGCCCCCCCCCAGGCCATGCATGCGGCGCCCATGTACATAGCGGAGACCAGCCCACCGGCCATACGGGGCACGCTCATCGCACTCAAAGAAGCCTTCATTGTCGCCGGCATCCTCGTGAGCCTCGCCTCCCACTCTGCTGCGCCCCACCTCCCATGCTGCTGCGCCCCACCTCCCATTCTGGTCCATTGCCCTCACAGTGTTGTCTCTCCCCTCTGTACTATCCCTCTGCCCTCTGCCCGTCACTTGCTTGCTGCCCTGCCGGGGGTCGTGTGCTGCGGGGCATGGCGACGGGCGAGGCCAGCTGGGGTACGTGAGTGGCAGTGTGCTGGTGGGCACGGAGGGCGCCTGGCGAGGCATCTACGGGGTGGCAGCGCCGCTGGCACTCGTGATGGCGGCCGGCATGGCGTGGCTGCCACCCTCCCCCCGCTGGCTGCTGCTGCGCGCCCAGCAGCAGCACCACCACCGGGAGACGCGCGGGCAAGAGGGGGAGGATGGGCAGGATGGGCAGGCGGGGGCCAGGGGCGAGGAGGCGCGGAGGCGGGCAGTGGAGGCGGTGAGGCGGCTGAGGGGGGGCGCGTGTGGGGAGGGGGAGGCGCGGAGGGAGGTGCAAGGCATGGTGGAGGCCATGGGGGAGGGGGGGGGCAAGGGGGGTGCAAGTGGGTGGGGCGAGCTGGTGGCAGGGGCGAGTGGGCGCGCGCTGGTGATTGCCTGTGGGCTCGTGTTCTTCCAGCAGGTGGGCTCGTCACATTCCCACAGGGGTCTCATGCCTGTGTGCCAGCCAACCTTCATCGTGACGTAGACGTAGGCGTGTGCACTTTCATGGCGATGGCAGGGATGGGCTGATGGGATGGAGCACAGGGGTCTTGTGCATGGAGGAGAAGCGTGGCACGTGGTCTTGTGCATGGAGGAGAAGCGTGGCACGTGGTCTTGTGCATGGAGGAGAAGCGTGGCACGTGGTCTTGTGCATGGAGGAGAAGCGTGGCACGTGGTCTTGTGCATGGAGGAGAAGCGTGGCACGTGGTCTTGTGCATGGAGGAGAAGCGTGGCACGTGGTCTTGTGCATGGAGGAGAAGCGTGGCACGTGGTCTTGTGCATGGAGGAGAAGCGTGGCACGTGGTCTTGTGCATGGAGGAGAAGCGTGGCACGTGGTCTTGTGCATGGAGGAGAAGCGTGGCACGTGGTCTTGTGCATGGAGGAGAAGCGTGGCACGTGGTCGTGTGCATGGAGGAGAAGCGTGGCACGTGGTCTTGTGCATGGAGGAGAAGCGTGGCACGTGGTCTTGTGCATGGAGGAGAAGCGTGGCACGTGGTCTTGTGCATGGAGGAGAAGCGTGGCACGTGGTCTTGTGCATGGAGGAGAAGCGTGGCACGTGGTCGTGTGCATGGAGGAGAAGCGTGGCACGTGGTCTTGTGCATGGAGGAGAAGCGTGGCACGTGGTGCCCCCCCCCCCCCCCCCCCCCCCGCCCCACCTCTCCCCCGCCTCGCCTCTCCTCTCGCCTGCCTCTTTTTTTTTTTCATTATGTATATATCAAAATACACCGGAAAGGCAAGCGCATAAGAGATATATGTCAGTCGTAACTGAGCGTGAGAGGCCAACCCTCAGTGGTGGCCCCATGCGAGACGTCTAAGGCGGATGCAGAGCCCCCCTTGCAAGACTCCAAAGGCGGATGCAGAGCCCCCCTTGCAAGACTCCAAAGGCGGATGCAGAGCCCCCCTTGCAAGACTCCAAAGGCGGATGCAGAGCCCACCTTGCAAGACTCCAAAGGCGGACGCAGAGCCCCCCTTGCAAGACTCCAAAGCGCGCCAAAACTGTGCGTCCACTTCCAGCCCTTCGCCGTCGGACAACGGATGCGTCCAAGCAAGCTGTCCTCCTGTCCTGCCAGCGCATGTGATTTGCCGTGTTTTTTCAAACCGCCGCTTTTCCCCAGCTTCCTCCCCATGGCACGCGTGTACACCCTCACATGCAACCGAAAGGCTGCCTCAATGCGCCTGAGGACGTGCCGAGCCCGGAATCTCTTCCCCCGGAACACACAGTGACACCGCTCCGCCCAGATCTGATGTATCGCAATGGCGGAAAGAGATGCTTCAGGAAACGCTGAGGCAGAGGCTGCTTTCCCGAACAGCAGGTCCCCCAGCTCCGACACATGTCTCGCTGGGTTCAGTACACGCAAGGCCCTCCTGACTGCCACCACCACTTGCTGGATGCGCAGGCAGCTGAAGAGGCAGTGTTCCATAGTTTCGAATTCCCCACAGTGTGGGCACACCGGTTTGCCACTTAGGAAAGAGAGCCTCTCCCCCACTTGCAGGTCGAGGCTGTGAATCCTAAGCAGCACGTCCCGCGGCCTGTCGCCTGCCTCTTATGCTCTTCCCCTCTTCGTCCCTCCTTCTGGCCCGCCTGCCCTCCCTGCAGGTCACAGGGCAGCCCAGCGTGCTCTACTATGCAGGCTCCATCCTCCAGGTGCCTCCATCCTCCAGGTGCCTCCATCCTCCAGGTGCCTCCATCCTCCAGGTGCCTCCATCCTCCAGGTGCCTCCATCCTCCAGGTGCCTCCATCCTCCAGGTGCCTCCACGCTTTCTTCATGCGCCCTGTCGCTCGTCCCCATCCATGCGTCTGCTGCCCATCCTCTGGTGCGGAGTGCACCCATCTCGAGTCTCCCCTCCCACTGCCCTGCCTCCCTCGTCCTTGCTTGCCTCACCTCAGCTCACCTCGCCTTGCCTTGCCTCGCCTCACGTGGTCTTGTGTGCCAGGATGCGGGCTTCTCGGCTGCCACTGATGCCACCCGGGTGTCGGTGCTGCTGGGTCTCTTCAAGGTGCGTGCTGCTGCTGCATGTCCAGAGCGCCTGCATGCAGGTTTAAGGCACCACCACGCTTGGGAAAGGCGCCTGCCATGACCAGCCATCACTTGCTCACTTGCCCTTGCCTTTGTCTCTCTGCCTCCATTCCCCCCACCCCTCACGCCCGCACGCTCCTTGCTCCCCCCTCCACCCCCCCCATGGGGCAGCTGGGCATGACGGGCGTGGCCATCGCCACTGTGGACCGCTGGGGCCGCCGCCCTCTGCTGCTCGCTGGCGTCTCCGGCCTCGTGGGTACCAGGGCTCGTGGGTGCCAGGGCTGGTGGGCGGCAGGGCTTGTGGGTGGCAGGGCTTGTGAAAATTTTAGTTCCCTTGCGTTTTCTTCTCTGCTGTTGCTTCCGTTGTCTCTACCTCATTTGAACCTCATTATGCCGCCCCATGCTGGCCCGTGCAAGCGCGCATGAGAGTGGGTGCAGGTGGCGAGCCTGGTGCTGCTGGGGTGGACGTACAGCAGCCTCAGCGGCGTGCCCGCCCTCAGTGTGCTCGCCCTGCTGCTCTTCGTCGGCTGCTACCAGGTCACGTCACCTCCCTCCTCTGCTAGCCATGTGACGTCACCTCCCTCCTCTGCTAGCCATGTGACGTCACCACCCGTCTGCTGCCACCACACGACAATCTTCTTGCTGCCTCCACCTCATCACCCCCCGCATGGGCTTGACTTCTGTGCCCACCTGCTTCTGTGCCCACCTGCTTCTGTGCCCACCTGCTTCTGTGCCCACCTGCTTCTGTGCCCACATGCTTCTGTGCCCACCTGCTTCTGTGCCCACATGCTTCTGTGCCCACATGCTTCTGTGCCCACATGCTTCTGTGCCCACATGCTTCTGTGCCCACATGCTTCTGTGCCCACCTGCCCCTGAGCCCACCTGCCCGTGTGCCCGCATGCCTATGTTCCTGCATGCGTGTGTGTTGGCGTGCCTACCTGCGTGTGCGCTTGTGGCAGAGCAGGTGTCGTTTGGCCCCATAGCATGGCTAATGGTGTCGGAGGTGTTTCCTCTGCCGGTGCGGGGCCGAGCGCAGAGCATCGCCACGCTCCTCAACTTTGCCTCCAACGCCCTCGTCACCTTCGCCCTGCCGCCCATTCAAGTACCTGCTCCGCCCTGACTCGGTAGCAATTAGCACAGGGGTGTGGTGGGGCCAACACTGGCACTTGAGCATCCTCTCACTGGACGAGTTGCTGGCATGTACGCATGCCACGGGACTTCCGTCTCACGCACTGTTCCTCCTCTGCTCTCTTGCTTCCCATGCCACCCGCGCTGCCTGCCCTGCCCGTTCCTCCATGTGCAGGGCGCGTTGGGGCAAGCAGGCACGTTCTACTCGTTTGCCACCATCGGTGCTGGAGCCCTCCTCTTCATCTACCTGTGGGTGCCCGAGACCAGAGGGCTCCAGCTGGAGGAGATCGAAGCAAAGCTAGTCGCCGGCAAGATATGAATGGAATAGACTGCTGCTCGTGACGATTCGTGGTCCACGAGAGCTTACCCACTCCAGGCACGACAAGGAAAGACCAAAGGCAATATCCATTCTTTGTTTGCTAACGTGATCCAGCGCAGCTATTGTACTCCTCTGGGTATCTGACGTGCGACTCGCGCAAATTTTGCACATGCTGTAAGTTTCGCTGTTACCGAATATAAGACCCACCTGTCAAATGTTATTGTTGTGATAGGCTGCAGTTAGGTACTCCATAGAGGGTACAACTTTGTTAGACTTCCTACGGTATTTGTATTGCCTCCCTACCCTAATCCAACCATTCAGTTGCATTCTATTTCTGAGATGGTATCACGAGAAGGTTTAGAATCCTTGCCTAGCCTAGCCTAGCTCGCGCCCTCCGCGCCCTAGCGCCCTCCGTGCCCTAGCCCCCCCTGCGCCCCCGCGCCCTCCGCGCCCTCCGTAACGCACCCTCCGTAACACGCCCTCCGCGCCTAGCCCTCCCCTACGCGCCCTCCACGCCCTTCGTATCGCGCCTCCGCCCCAGCCCGGCGTGTAGCCCGTGCGCCCTACCCTAGCCCGTCATGTAGCCCATGCGCCCTGCCCCAGCCCATCGCGTCGCCCGTACGCCCTGCCCTAGCCCGTCGCATCTCCCGTGCGCCTTTCCCCAGCCCGTCTCGTCGCCCGTGCGCCCTGCCCTAGCCCGTCGCGTCGCTCATGGGGCCTTGCCCCTACGATGGGACCTGAGAGGGAGCGCTACTTTCTAGTGGTCGTTGACGACTACTCCAGCTACACCACGGTGTTTCTTCTCACGAAAAAGCCCGCGACTTCTACGCTGATCCGGTGGCTTCTGGCCACTGAGGGCACTCGTGGTAGTCGTGTCCGTTGTCTCCACTCCGACCATGGGGGTGAGTTTCGCTCCAGCGTACTTGACGGGTTCCGCGGTAAGCAGGGCATCAGACACTCCTGGACGCTGCCGAAGTCCCCACATCAGAATGGGTTGCTGAGCGCCGCATTGGCTTGGTTATGGACATCGCCCGCACGTCCATGATCCATGCCCGTGTGCTCCATTTTCTGTGGCCCTATGCTCTTCGCTTCGCCGCGCACCAGCTGAACCTCCAACCACGTGTCTCGCGACCAGAGGTTTCACCGACCAGTCTTTGGACCGGGTCTCCTAATGTTGGGTCGACCTCTCGTGTCTGGGGCTGCCTTCCGCTTGTCCGCGACACCTCTGCGGACAAGCTCCCGGCTCGCGCCATCCCCTGTGTCTTCCTTGGTTTCCCGGTGGGCTCTCCCGACTACTCCTTTTACCACCCGGCCCTCCACCAGTTTCTAGACTCTCGTGACGTTCGGTTTCACGAGTCAGTGTCCTATTACACCCGGTACCCCTGTCGAGGTCTCCCGGTTCTCCCTCCCCCCCTCTTCCTCGCACCCTCTCCTCCCCCTGCTCCCGCTCCTCCGGTACCTCCGCCCCCCCCCTGGTCCTGCCCCGTCAGGTGTGTCTGACACTACCCCTCTAACCTCGGTCGCCCGTCAGGTAGCGTCTCCCTCCCCGCAGTCCTCCTCACAGTCCAACCAGCAGCCTTCGGCACGTCCGCGACAGGTTACTGTTGACTCGGTTGGTGTTGGAGCTAGAGGTACAGCCACTAGCAGAACTCGGTCTGGGGGCGCTTGTTCGAGAGGTGTTGGACCAGGAGGTGCGGGCAATGGCGGTGCTAGTTCTGGGGGTACTGGAGCTGGAGGTCATGGCACTGGAGGTGCTACTTCTGGGGGTGCTGGAGCTGGAGGTGTTGGCGCTGGTGGCCTGCACTTCTTCCACATGTGCGGATCCTTCCGCATTTTGGGGGTGGAAGCGCTCGTTCCGAGCCGTTTTTTCTACTTGGTCACATGGCAGCTCTTGTCTGGACCTATTACCAAGCCAGCAAGGGCGTGGAACGGTTGCGAGCATCATCGGTCATCGGCGCTCGCAAATGAAGAGCGCCCGCTGCACTTCCTGCACATGTGCGGATCCTTCAGCGTTTTTGTGGTGGAAGCGCTCGTTCTGAACGTTTGTTTTCCACCAGGTCACGTGGCTGTGCTTGTCTGGTCCTATTATTGAACTAGCAAGGGCACAGGAGGGTTGCGAGCATCATCGATCATCGGCGCTCGCAAATGAAGAGCGCCCGCTGCACTACCTACACATGTTCGAATCTTTCCGCGTTTTTGGGCTGGAAGCGCTCGTTCCGAGCGTTTTTCTTCCTCCGAGTCACGTGGCTGCGCTTGTCTGGGCCTATTACCAAGCCAGCAAGGGCGCGGGAGGGTTGCGAGCATCATCGGTCATTGGCGCTCGCAAATGAAGAGCACGAGATGCACTTCCTGCACATTTGCGGATCCTTGCGCGTTTTTGGGGTGGAAGCGCTCGTTCCAAGCGTTTTTCTTCCGTTAGATCATGTGGCTGCGCATGTTTGGGCCTATTACCAAGCCAGCAAGGGCATGGAAGGGTTGCGAGCATCATCGGTCATCGACGCTCGCGAATGAAGATCGCCCGCTGCACTTCCTACACATGTGCAGATCCTTTCCAAGCGTTTTTCTCCGCCGGGTAACGTGGCTGCGCTTGTCTGGTCCTACTACCAAGCCAGCAAAGGCGTGGGGGGGTTGCGAGCATCATCGGTCATCGGCGCTCGCGAATGAATAGCGCCCGCTGCACTTCCTGGACATGTGCAGATCCTTCCGCGTTTTGGGGCTGGAAGCACAAGTTACGAGCGTTTTTCTCCCGCCGGGACACGTGGTTGCGCTTGTCTGGGCCTATTTCCAAGCCAGCAAGGGCGTGGGAGGGTAGCGAGCATAGTCGGTCATCGCCGCTCGCGAATGAAGAGCGTCCGCTGCACTTCCTGCACATGTGCGGATCCTTCCGCGTTTTGGGGGTCGAAGCGCTCGTTCCAAGCGTTTTTCTACCGCCAGATCACATGGCTGCGGTTGTATGGTTTTTTTACCAAGCCAGCAAGGGCGTGGGAGGGTTGCAAGCATCATCGGTCATTGGCGCTCGCGAATGAAGAGCGCTCACTGCACCTCCTGCACATGTGCGGATCCTTCCGTGGTATGGGGGTGGATATGCTCGTTACGAGCGTTTTTCTTCCGCCGGGTCACATGGCTGCGCTTGTCTGGTCCTATTACCAAGCCAGCAAGCGCGTGGGAGGGTTGCGAGCATCATCGGTCATCGACGCTCGTGAATGAAGAGCCTGCGCTGCACCTTTTGCACATGTTCACATCCATCCACATTCGAGGTTGGAAGCGCTCGTTCCGAGCGTTTTTCTTCCGAAGGGTCACATGGCTGCACTTGTCTCGGCATACCACCAAGCCAGCAGGGCATGGGAGGGTTGCAATCATCATCGGTTATCGGTTCTCGCGAATGAAGAGCGCCCGCTGCACTTCCTGCACATGTGCAGATCCTTCTGCGTTTTGAGGGTGGATCGCTCGTTGCGAGCGTTTTTCTTCCGCTGGGTCACGTGGCTATGCCTTTCGGGGTCTATTACCAAGCTAGCAAGGGCGTGGAAGGGTTGCGAGCATCATCGGTCATCGGCGCTCGCGAATGAAGAGCGCCCGCTGCACTTCCTGCATATGTGCGGATCCTTCCGTGTTTTGGGGGTGGAAGCGGTCGTTTCGAGCGCATTTCTTCCACCGGGTCACGTGGCTTCGCTTGTCCGGGCCTATTACCAAGCCAACAAGGGCGTGGCAGGGTTGCGACCATCATCGATCATCGGTTCTCGCAAATGAAGAGCGCCCTCTGCACTTTCTGCACATGCGCGGATCCTTCCGCGTTTTGGGGGTGCAAGCTCTCGTTCCGAGTGTTTTTCTTCCGCCGGGTCACATGGCTGCGCTTGTTTGGTCCTATTACCAAGCCAACAAGGGCGTGAGAGGGTCGCAAGCATCACCAGTCATCGGCGCTCGCGAATGAAGAGCGCCCGCTGCACTTCCTGCACATGTGCGGATCCTTCCGCGTTTTGGGGGTAGAAGCTCTCGTTCCAAGTGTTTTTCTTCCGCCGGGTCACGTGACTGCACTTGTCTGGTCCTATTACCAAGCCAGCAAGGGTGTGGGAGGGTGGCAAGCATCATCGGTCATCGGCGCTCGCGAATGAAGAGCGCCCGCTGCACTTCCTGCACATGTGCGGTGTGAGAGTACGACGGCTTATGCCAGCTATGCTTGCTTGCCTCTACTTTATTATGCTATTTCTAGCATAGGATAATCATATACATGCATGAATTGCTTGATATCATAGGCTAGGTGCTTTCCTATGTTTTATTATAGTTATAGCACCGAGCTAGGTTACGTGCACCGAATTCTGGCCTTTTCGGTTGCCACCGAATTGCCTTCTACCGAATTCGGTACTGTTCGGGACGCTACGCGACCCGCGGAACCTTCGCGTAACACCTGGTTACGGTGCTTTGTGTCGAGCCTATATATAGCCTCGTGTTGTACCCAGGTAATCATTCAATTCAATTCAATTCGATTCAATTACAATTCTCTTTTCTGAGCTCGATCCTAGATCCTCACACTTGGTAATCAGAGCGGGTTTACACGCGAGGTCTTCAACCGCGTAGTTCCGGCCTTTAAAAAAACGCGGGGGCGACAACGAAAGCGCCGATACGGGTATGTAAAACCAGTTCCGCGCTATTTTCTAACGTCCCCCTCGAACCGGTTTTTGAACACTCCTCAGGTCCAGTAGCGAAAAAGTTGGAATTTCGACCGTCGGATCGATTCGAATCTCAACGGCCCTGAGAATTTCGCCCAAAAAAGTTGGAGTTTGGAGCGTCGGATCGAATTTCTTCTCAACAGACGTGAATTTCGACTAAGGAAGAATAACGCGACCTACAGAAACAGCCCTCGTCATTTCTGCAGTCAACTCGACTCACAGTAAGATGACCAGCGCCTGAAATTCATTTATTTTCGTCGCAAATCTTCCTATTAATCGCCAAATCGAGGAAAACGGTGATAATTCCGTACAGAAAATTACAGAGTTACACACCGA